CTGCGTTGAAGATCACAAGCGATTGTATGCTGCCTTCAAACGCAAACCCAACTATTCCGTTCGGGATATCCCGAAAAAACTGCAGTTTCGTGCAGAAAGTTAAGAAACGAGCAGGAATACGTTCATTCAAGGTTCAGAAAGCACCAACCCACAATGAACGACAGAATAGAACAGCTAGGACGCAGGCACGTAAGCTGTACACTCATATGTTAACAAAACCACACTTCTTTGTCATGGACGATGAAACAAACGTTAAACGAGGGGGATAAAACTCCCAGATTTATTCAAGTTTTTTGAAAAAAATATCTTTATTTTCGTGAATCGATTTATTTCTGAATAAATCCTCTTTATCAGATATAATCTTCAAAATTAAAAATATCGTTTTTATCGATCACATCCCTATAATATCGGGTCACATCTCTACCTATCTCATGACAGATTACGATATTTGAGGACGCCGCGAAGGAGCGTATCGACGCGATCCAATGCGATGTAAACATTGTGTGATGGAGAAACATTCACATTCCCCCCTATTCTGCGAGTCACGTGACTCTCTCTCACCGGTGAGGTGACAATAGTCACCTCGTGTGAGGTGACTCTCCATTTGATTTACATGGAGAGTCACCTCACACGAGGTGACAATTGTCACCTCACCGGTGACAGAGAGTCACGTGACTCGCAGAATAAGGGGGATTGCCTCCCATGTTTACATCACATTAGTGGTCGTATGGGGGAAGAAACCAAAGCTGTAGCTCTTTACTCCTATGGTATAATCAAACGGCAGATTGTGCGTGAAACATGGCGGCCTTTGTACTATCATTTCACTCCACTAAAAATTCCCATAAGCAACTGTCAATATTTGCTAGAAGAGACGATTTCTCGACGGTGCCGTCATGGCCAATAGAGAGGAAGTGAACAGTTAAAAAGGATGCAAGACAATGGAAAACGAAAAGATCAGGACGGAGATAATGCCACGGTTTGGAGGTGTTCCAAATCGAAGGCGGAAGTGGTTGCGAAGGCAAACGAATTTCGGATGAATGCTGGATTTCAGAAGTAGGGGAAATGGCTCTAATGTTGGCCTATGGATCTAAGATTGGGCCCATCGCTAAAAATCTGTTATTTATCAATTTTATCTAGATGAACGCGTCATTGGGACGGTACTAATAGAGATTTTTGGTCGCTATTGAAAATTTAGCCGATTGCTGAATTTATGTATGGGTCCATATTATGGGCATTTAGGCCGACATTGCATACATTTCCCCTATTCGGCGAGGAATGGAGGTTAAGATCCTATGAAAGAAATTCGTTGGTTGGGAGCTTCATACGAAGAGCTTCGGAGTATGCTTCTGCTGTAGATGGTTGGGTGAATGTAGAATTTGGGTGGGTTAATGTTATTTCCACGCAACTTTTCGAAAATAAGAGCCATGAGTGGTCCGAGGCACGATAATGAAAGTGACTCTTCCAAGATTACCGATGAATAGCGCATGAAATCGGATGATATCGGCAAGTGCGTGTTATTATTCTTTACCAATCGAAGATATCCGCAAAAATCGATTTTATGAAGCTAATTTTATTATTATCCGAACAATTTTATGTAGAATGGACCACCTCAAACAAATTCCGGGAAACCAGTATCGCAAGTTCGATGTTTCAGAGTCCCTCAGCAAACAGCAAGTGGTGAAGTTCCCCAAGAAATTCATGATTTGGCAGGCGATTTGTTCGTGTGAAAAACGGAGCAAGCCTAAGCGCTTGAAATAAGTCTCTCATCCGATTTTCATGAAATTTTCAGGGAATGCAATAGGCCAAATGTCGGCTTGGACAATACCTTAACCTATTATCGTCAAAGGGTAAACAAAGTCCTATAGCACTCAAATTTGACCAATAGATGCGCTGAAACACAATGTATTCACATGCCAAAATTAAGCTCTCAAGGACCGCCGACATTTGCCCTGAAAATTTCATGAAAATCGGATGAGAGACTTATTTTAAGCGAGTTCTTCTAGGTGATGCAATTTAACTGTGGACACCCTTTATTTACCTAGTCATTAAAAAGTTACCTGATACCATTCTTGCATGTGTCTCTGCCGAATCGTCTCAGCCGAATCGTCCCCCCTTTAGCTACGCCAATGCTATTCACCATATGGACGAGTGCACGGATGGATTTGAGTTCACTCACTCGAGAAAAAGTGACACAAACTGCGGGCAATGTTTACTAATCATGAACACTAAATTTTCATGAATAATGAATAATGAACATTTCTAGATAGAGCTGGAATTAGGGCGTAGCAGCTTTTGTAAACAATGACTTCTCTCGTTGATTTCTAGGAATTCAAGGCACGCCTATGCAAACCAACATAACCGTCGGCTTGGGGAAGTCTTCTTCTACCCGATGGTGATGTTGATTTGCGTTGGCAAGCCTTGAATTTCTAGAAATCATCGAAAGAAGTCATTGTTTACAAAAGCTGTTACGCCCTAATTCCAGCTCTATCTAGATTTAGTGTTCATGATTAGTAAACATTGCCCGCAGTTTGTGTCACTTTTTCTCGAGTGAGTGAACTCAAATTCATCGGTGCACTCGTCCATAGACGAGTGCACGGATGAATTTAAGTTCACTCACTCGACAAAAAGTGACACAACAGCGGGGCCCTGGTTACTAAAAAATGAACACATGAATATTACTCGCTTAACATTTGAAACGGGCCTATCAACTTTTGTACACAAACTTATTAAACCCTTTTCACGCGAACCGAATATGCCCAGGCAAACTAACAACACCAAATTCTCCCCTTCCCGATAGTGCTCTTGGTTTGTGTGGAAGTTCTTCGGTCCTCGTGAAAAGGACCTTGTAAATTATTTACAAAAGTTGATAGGCCTTTTTCAAATGTTACGTGAGCATTATTCATGTGTTCATTTTTAGTAAACAGGGCCCCGCTGTTGTATCAATTTCTTTTTTCATTAGATGAACAAAAGTTCACCAGCGCACTCGTATATAGAAGGCCTTGACTATATCTGACTAACTTTACCGAAAACAAAAATGATGGCCAGATTATAGTTTCATTGACTTCTTGCCGCAAGATTTCACCAACACAAAGTTGCTAGTGTAGCCGCGTAAAATCGATTTCTCGCCTAACTTTTCAAAAGGTCCTATCTAATATTTCACTCTTTTCGAGAAAAACGAGGTTGAAGATTGACAAAATCTTTTTTGATACTATTTTAAACCAAATCAACTTTTGACATTTTTAAGACCTTTAATAGTAAAATGCGATAGTAAAATTGAAATTGAAAGTATAATCTACCCGTTTCATGCATTTTTTTTGTATGAAAACGTGAAAAATGTTACATAGGACATTTTGCTCTTGTCAGGTGTACATTGGACATGTTATATAGGACGTTTTGTTATAATCACAGTTACATAGGTCATTTATGTTTTCAACATTATTTGTTTTTTTTTAAGCATTATAAGTGCATAATTTAAGTTATACGAGTTAAACGAACAATATGAGTATTGGACAATGCATCAACTTTTTTTTAACGGTGTATCGCAACACTGCCCACAGATTGTTTTGGTCGATCGTTGGTGGTCGCGTGAGCTGCTTTTTATTTGATAACAGTGTTATTTTAGGGGCTGTTCATTAACTACGTAGACAGCTTTTCGGTATTCTTGATCCCCCCTTCCCCATGCGTAGACAATTGTCCATGTTAAAATTTTAAAATTTGTATGGGCCGTGGATAATTGTCAAAGCACCGCCCCCCCCCCGCCACACGCGGAAATTGTAGAAAAATGCTTGACATGAAAATTCCGATGTGCACAATCACATTGTTTTGGTTTGTTTGAACATTTTAGACGTTTTACTCGTATAAACACAAAGGACCGAAGTACAGATCTGCATTGTTTTGGTTTTTCTGATACTTCAGACGTTTGTCTTGATGAACATAGTCAATGTCTTATGCAACAGTGAAACATCGTTAATGCAAATTTGCACTTCAGACGTTTTGTTCATTAAGAATTTTCTCAATTCAATTGACATTAATCGGAATGTGTGTGTGTGCATAATGTTCTTAGGTACAAATGTTACAATGTGCATTTATAAACTCGATTTGTTTACATTTGTTACTTAGGACCTTTTGAAAAGTTAGGCGAGATTTGTTTATTATTTTCAACCACGAAATCAGCTGTCAAAGTGTTCGACTTGACAGCGGGTTGTTTTTTTTTTAAATTTTCAACCAGTAGAACGCTTGTATAAGTGAAACTGCTCACTAATACCATAGAGGTAACTCTAAGACAAGTAGGTCCCGAAGAAACGTGCTCAACTTTTTGGCTCACCTCTGGTACTATCTTCGGTCCCAAGCTTGTCGAATCACCCCTCGAAACATAGGTAAAACCAATAACCCCTCATTTTATCTGTCAAACTTTCATAGCGAATCAAAACAAACATTGCGTAGTACTAGAATTTCGACTAGAATAGGGTACGTTAATCGTTTGCTTGGGACCAATAGGCTACTAAAGTGGTGAGCCAATTTAAAATCGTTAGTTTCGTATTGATTGTTGCTAATACTAACGGTGGTAAAGAACTCTATTGATTGACTAAATTTAGGGATTTTCCGGAACTTCCGGTAGATCATTGGCCCTTATATGCTGATTATACGACCGAATTCAATCTTATAACAAACCTACAAATGTTTTCGAAAAAACCTGGTGCATTTCATACCAGAGACATTCTTATTTACTACGATTAGTTCCAACCTTGAGGTACCATTCAAAAGGGCAGCTGTAGCTGCTTCTGTAATACCTTAATAATTAATGAAAAACTTACCATTTGTTTCTGTAAGCAGACTGCGCCTGAACAAATGAATATTTGAGCAAAGTATTCAACGGTATTCAGAATGATTTCCAAACTCGAAAGGAAAATACATGGCCAAGAGAAAATGTTCGGATCCGTTCAGATTTGGGCTGTGATATGTGTGTTCTTCGGACTACAAAAACTCAACAACGTTACTGATTCGCGATTTTCACAGTTTGATTTTAAACTTTTTATTCATCTCTGTGTTCACTTGTTTAGAATAATTAAAATATTTAATAAATTTATGTTCCGCATGCTCACACGGTCAGGGCAATTACTTCAACTGTGTTTCAATTAAATTTGTTGATTTTATTTTGTTCTGTATGCCACTGACTCCTTACCGCAAAGCTTTCATTTTCAACTTTGTTTACATTTTACCTGCCTGGGGGGATAGCTTGCCATTACCAAAGTTAATTGGTTATCCGTGGAATTACCAACAACAACAATCAGCCCGGCGATGCGATGCTTGCCTGTGCGTCGCATCGTTAGCTTGCACTTTTTCGATTAACAATTTCCGAATGCAGTGTGCAGTCGTAATCGAATCAATCAATTTGGAAAATTATATCTGATGTAATTGAAGTTTTTTAATTTACTTGCAAGTTTAATCTTTGTGTGTATGTGTGTGTGTGTGTTTTACTCTTTATCCCTTGTTCCACTTTGCTTATTTCGTGTGGGGAATTTTTGATGTTGTTGTTGTTGCAGTTGATATGTTACAATTAATTTACATTAAGTTATAACGATAAGTTGAATGGTTTCTTCTAGAGTGAGTTTTTTTCTTCTTCATGTGATGTTTGCATCTAGTTTCCACCTGGTCTAAAGGGGTGGGTGAGTTTATTTTCCATATCCATAATAAAATAGCGCTTTGTTCGTGTCTTAGAATTCGTTTAAACTAGGTTAGGTTTATATCCTCTCGGTCGAAAGCGGGCGAATAATTTATACACTTTTTTATGTTTTAAATTGTATTATTACGATCTGCTCAATTTGTTTCGGTTTTACGATTACGACCCTTTTAAGAGCGGTCGGTTTACGTTCGCTTTGCTCTTTGCCTTCACTAATCTAATATGATGATTGGTTGTTTTCGCTTTTCCACTAGCAAATAATTTAACAGTATTACGTAAGTGTGGGTTTGTTTTCATTGTTTTTTTTTTGTTTGTTTAATTGTTCATAACAGATTAACTATATACGAATAGACACATTAATTAATAATAAGAATAGCGCCCGTCGCCGGGGACCGGTGTAGTTTTATTATTTACATTTAGAGACATCACAAATTGTTGATCTGTTACTTTTCTTGCCGTTTGGCAACCCTGCTGTCAAATTGCCTGGGCTGCCAGACGCACACAAGTATGTGTCGAGTCTTTTGTACCCGTGAAAATTTTTTGCAACCCATGCCTAAATGAGAACCCTGATAGTAAGGATTTATTTTTTCTTCAAAAGGGGCCCATGACCTGATGGTGGCCAAAAAGGGGTGCCCCCAGCATACCTCAGACAATACCCGGTTTGACGTCTAACTGGCTGACGTGTTCCAAACCGGGGCTAGGTGTATGCGCATGGTGGTGAGGGGTACCCGGTTGTTGCGAGGGATGACTCAGTGTACCGGGGTGGCCACCCATCGTCATCCCCGGAGGCATTGCGCTGACGTGGCCGCCATGGTTTGCCGCACCTGGGCTACCACCTACACCGCCTCCTCCGGGAGCTCCACCTCCGCCGCCAGACTGTTGCTGTTGCTGCTGTTGGTGGAGATCGGTTTGGTTCGTCTCCTCGGAGTCGCTGCACGAGTCGGATGAGTTTTTCTTGGTCGTTCCAGTGCCAGCGCTGCCGTTGCCACCGGTCGTTGTTGATCCGTGAGTTTTGACGTGTTTTGCTAAATGATCACTTCGCATAAATCGCTTGTTACAAACGGGGCATAAAAATCGCTTCTCACCTGTATGTGTGCGTAGATGGCGCTGGAGTTCATCGGATCGGGTGAAGCGCTTGCCACAGAATAACCAATTGCAGACGAATGGCCGCTCGCCCGTGTGCCATCGAAGGTGAGCCTTCAAGTGACTTGTTTTCCCGTAAACCTTGCCACAGCCGGGAATGTGACAGCTATGAATGTTCTTCTTACGTAGATGAACTCCGGCCGGTCCGAGCCGTTCCGCTTCCTGGCAGTTTGGGCAGTCACAGGTGGCACGGCCCGAATAGCGACGCTGACTGCGAGGAGACGGAGCCTGCGGCGTTGGCGGTGCCGGTGACGGCGGTGTATGTGACAAGCCGAAGCTACCGACGCCCTGAGATGGTAGCATACTTTTGTATGTATCCTGCAGCAAGTGCTGCCCGGTGCCAAGCAGGTGTGCCGTATTCGTTAGAGAATGTGTCAGCGTCGAATAGTCGGAACTGACGGCAGCCGAAGCCGCGTAGTTTGCCATGGTAGCGGCATGCATTCCGGCACTTCCCATGTCCAACCAGCCGCCGGCCGCTCCGTGCATATCCCACCAGCCGGAGTTCATGTTATCGGTCTTGTGGGCCGTCGCTGCCGAAACGGCATTGAACGGCCAATCGTAAGGATGCCGTGAGTAGACCGACCCGAGAGTCGTTCCCTCGACCTTCCCAAGAATACCGTGCTGCATGTGCGGATTTTCGGCACAAGCCGGCGATGTGGTGGCTCCCGGGAAATACAAGTCACTACCGTAGGACGGCGTTGAGGAAGCCGCGCATGATGACGTTATTGGGCGACTGTAAAACGAAACAAGTGTCAACAAACAAAAGTGCTCTCGCAAGCAGGGCGGGACGTAACATACCTCGTCGTAAAATTCGCCATCGGACTAGCGGTCGACGAAGCGGATGAAGCAGACGATGACGACAGTGTCCTCTGATTCGATTGTATCACGTTGCTGGCCGCGCTGCTAGTTGCCGCTTGTGGACTTCCGAGGGAGTTCGGAGAATGTGGTCCGGAAGAGATGGGGCTTTTCTTCCACGGATGAAACCCTTTTCCAACGGCAGCGTCAGCTAGTGGCGGTGGTGACTTGTTGGACAGTTTGTTGCACTGTGCTGCCAGCATTGCCAACGGTGTACCTCTAAGCCCTGGATGGTCCTGCAAACAAAAGAAAACAAAACAAAAAATCCTCATTAGAACCACGACGTACATACGATGAGAACAAAGCCAATTTCCCTACCGAAGGGAACCGCCAGACACCAGTTCGGAAGTCATTGACTGTGCGCGGCCGTAAAACAAGTCTCTTCCGAGGATCCGCCGCAAACTAATTCAATCGTTTTCTCGCGCAACTCAAAACTCATTAATTCCGATTCTAATTTTTTACCCTAATTTTTCAAACTCCTCTTTGCGGTGGGAAGCTCGGCTAGGGAACGACGAGCAGAGCACGTCCCCACCACTACCACCGCCAAACAGCCAAATGAGCTCTGACAGCAGTGCGAGAATCGGAGCGGGAGGAAGTCATTATTTTCAGGGCACCAGCGTTGAAAGACAACAACAAAACCACCGAGACAAGACGAGAATTGACCGACCGGCTGGAACGGCCGGCGCTTGGATGAGTTCAGACACGCGGCGTTTATCATTTCGGTGGTTTTGTGGAAGGAATATTAATTCATAATGCGTCCCCCACACCGCACGACCGACCTATCCTCTACCGAAATCTTCATGGATCCAAGCGAGAGGTTAGCTCTGCCGGCGAGATCGATTTTACGACGTTGCTTCCTCCGGTTGGTTGGCTTTTATGAGCCAATTTCTAGCTCTACTCCTAACCTCATTTACAGCTTCCAGGTTGCCATTCGAGTCAGTTTCAGAGTCGGAACCGACGGGAGGTGGGGGAAACGACCGAGCCAAAAGTGAGGATGCGGTGGAGGAGGAGGAGGAGGAGGACCTTCGCCCGTTTCAGGGAATTGCTGTCAATAAATTACTATTTCAGGCGCAGGTCGACCGGCGGCACACGGGCTTTTATGCGGGGCGAGATTTGTTAAATATTTATACTGGGTCTATTGTACCCGTGCATAGTAAAACAATCCCGAAAGGGGTGGGGTAATAACCATAAACAAATCAGCTTGAGTTAACAAGTGTCCGCGGACAACATTGTTGCCCGATTCCGAATGTGAGGTTGATGAGTTTTTCGAGTGAATGTGACACCTCCGGGCATGGCCGGGGGATGTCACCGACGAGAAAATCATCATCAGTCTTGAACTAATTTTCGGTAGTAGGGCAGGTATGGTAGTGAAAGGAAGTCAAGGGTGCCGCTGATCCGGATAGCAAACGCCGCGGCCGGCCGGCCATCAATTGGGGCGAAATGTGAAGATCGATTTGTTGATTTGATTAAAGTGGTAAAATCGGTTGCTGCTTATGAGGAGGTGGAGGAAGAGGAGGTGGAGGAAGATGGAGAAGTGGCGTGGGCAACGATTAGGGCTCTACAAAGTGGTTCAGTAAGTTGACTGGATTGGTACGGGGGCAAGATGACTGATGAGGGCGGGGGTTGTGCGGGGAATGTTTTGATAATGGAAAAGCTTTTATATTGTAGTATAATTATGGTGAGGTGAAAGAGCAAGAATCAATTTGCATAGGCGCGATGGGAGCGGGAGCGGGTGTTCGGCGGGGTGGTTCTTTGAGGTGTGGGTAAACGGTCGGAAGATTTGAGTTTGATGTTAGGTCTGGGCAATAGGTAGCAAAGTGATGTTATGATGTGCGATTTTTTGTTAAGTCATCGATACCGTCGCGGTCGTAGTCAGTCGAATAATACGGACACTTTCTAGTCTTTGAAATAAACATAATGGAAATTCAAGCGATAATTTGAGCAAATTTACACGAAATAGGCAAAAAATTGCATTATTGCACATGGAGAAAAAATACTACCCAAAAATTTAGTTCTTATTACTTAATATTGAGTTCAGCCTCTCACTTGCACTCTTTATTATTGTCATGAATTGAGGAAAAAGTACTTAATTTTGGGTACTTTTTCATCTCCGTGTAAGCTTGCCAACAGACCAATGTTCTGTTATTGAATATGAAGCAACAATTTTGACGTTACCAGCAGTAGGGTTATATGACCAACAGCGCTTATTTACATGCAGAGTTAATGTACACGTGCATCCATCCCGCGTGATAGAGACACGCTTTCTATAAGATCGTAGGTGCCAGGTACATTTCGAGACGTATTATTTCGCGTTTCTTTTTTGTTCCTACTTGCCTCATTCGTGTCACATGTGCTGTGTCTCATGCGCTAAGCTCGGCGAGCTCCAGGGAGATCGGCAGCGCACCTACCGTGCCGATTCAAATTTCGGACACTTAAACTCGAATTTCGGACACTTTTAAAAGTTGATTATCTCGGTCGAATATGATCCACATGTCTTGTAAATTTTAAATTTTTTTGACTAGTGCCCTCCACGATCATCTAACATTATTACTTTGTTTCTAACTGGATGTAATATTTAATTAAAAATGAAAGTGTCCGAAATTTGAATCGTCCGAAATTTGAATCGGAACGGTACGTCCTGCGTGCATGCTAAAAGTGGCTGGTTGGTGATAAAAAAAAACAGCAGAGAACTGTTGTAGTCCTGTCACATTCTCGTGTTGCTGGCACAACTGATTGATTTCAATCAGTTGGTATTCAGTTTTTGAGAGTTGAGAGATTGTTGTTTTATAGAAGTATTTCAAACGGAAGATGAGTAAAACGATTACGAACCAATTACCGGCGGAGTTATTTGCTACCAATCCATGCGCATAGAATTTTCATGGTTCAAAAAATTGATTTAGCTCCACCAAGTTCAAACGATTTAAAATCAGCACCTGATCATTCTCACAAAATGTGTTCTCATTAGGATGCACTTGCACGAACTGCACTTGGCCCTTTGAAGTTTATGTGGGAATTGAAAAATTGAACGTTAGGATTATTAGTTATCGATTGATTAGGAAGATAATGTTCTTCTGACATGGTTCATTTACTATTCAGTAGACAAAAAATTGATGCTATTATGTCATAAGGGCAAGATGCAGTGTTGCCCTGAAAACAGCCGATTAATCCTACCAGCACGTTATCAACTTGGAAATTAATTAAGAACAAATTTTCTTGACATTCAACAAAGTTGTAGCTGGGAAATTTTCACGTAAGAGGGGGGCTCCGATGGACAACTTTTCAGTAAATCATTGGTGCAGGGCTAGAACGATGAGGACAAAAAATACACTTTTCTTATAGTGCAGAATCAGTTCGCCACCAAATTAGCTCAAATTTTGGGATATTGATCAGCCAGATTTGGATCCGATTGATCTTGGTGGATCAAATTGATAGGTATTTTGCAGCTGGCAGAGAACCAATAGTTCGGAGGGCCCTTTAAAAAAAACTTCGTTGTTGAAATTGATTCGTATGACTTCATCCATCAGTATTTTCAGCCTTTCAAGCTGTAGCCGACATCACTAGTTAATTCAAACATCTACTTAAATTTGAGAACTGTTCAAATATATTTAGACAAAAAGCATGGTATGTTCGTCCCAAGTAGTAGTCAACCTGAAAATATGATGAGAAATAAGAAAACTGGATTGTAAATTTTGGGATGAATCCAACATATTTGTCACACTCAACGGTCAGTATATGAATCGAAAACCATGTTTCCAAAATGTTTATTTAGTAGGTTCAATATCTTTGAAAGCTCTGTGGAGCCGAAGGACTAAACAAATATTACAATGGAGATCTAAATCGATTTCCTATATTATTTTTTTTTTGTTTGCAACGCATCGAATCTTGACAGATCCACAAACCCTTTCTGTCGAGGATGCTGATGTTCGTTTTTGCATGCTTTATCGGCCTCCTAAGGGCACGTCCATTATCACCACCTCTTCATGCAGCACCTCTACCACTTCCTCTGTTGATTTACTGGTGCTGTCTGACAATGCACCTACAGCCACTACACCAGGGTACGAACTGCTATCCGAGTTGCAAGGAATTTTATAGTTTTTCAAGCAACTTCGTGGTACTTCAGGGAACTTTTTAAAAGTTCAGGAAACTTTCTTGAAGTTCAGATTTTTCTTTAAAGTTCAGTTAACTTTGTAGAAGCTCACTGAACTTCATTGAACTTCGTAGAGTTTCATCGAACTGCTTCGATAACTCTTCTTCTACGTACCTGAAAAAGTTATAAGACAACCACACTTCATACACCTCGCCGCTCGTAATTGACAGTATGGGCTGTTCATACTGTCGCTAATGTGATTAGGAACACTTATGCTTCCTAATGTTCCTTTAACTGTTTTCACTAGAACACTGTCCTGTTTTTGAATGTTTCTTTGGTATTATTATTATTATATTTTGTTTTATGCATTAAGACCAACATATGTCAGATAAATCATGAGCTAAATTTAGTGAAATTATTTGAAGTTCTGAGATCATGGAAAAGTTCAGAAAAAATCGTAGAAGTGGGAACTTTATACAAGTTTAGGTATCTTCGTAGAAGTTTATTGTTTAATGGCAGGGAACCTCTTTATTATGCAGGGACCTTTTTTATAACTTCAGAGCTTTGATGAAACCTCATGGACTTGAAATAGTTCAGAGAATTCCGCACAAATTCAGGAAATTTCGTGCGTCGAACTTTGCGCAAAATCAACGAGAAACGTAGACGTGAAGCAAGCTTTGATGAAGTTTTGTGTACTGCGTAATAATTCGAGGAACTGCGTATAACTTCATATAAGTACAGGGCATTTTGAAAAAGTTTAGGGAATTTCGTAAAGATAGAATACTTCAGGTATCTTCGTTTCAGTTTAGGGAACTTCATAGCAGTTTGTCAGAGATCTTAAAAATCTCAATGAACTTCCTGAAGATGAAGATTTTGGACCATCGTTTAATTTCAAGGTACTTTTTTCTAAAACCTAAGGAAATTTTGTAGATGTTCAGGAAACGTTGCATAAGTAACAGCATATTCTTTCAGATATGCTCCCTAGATAGCCAGGAAGTTTTAAAAGATCAGCATTGGCTGATGTTCTCCTGATCTGAATTAGCGAGTTGCTAAAGAAAAGGATGACTTAAGAATGTGCTTAAGTTTTTGAATATCATAATTTTTCAAATGGATAGATCAACTTTCAACACGGTATTTTCCAAATTTAAA